TTTTATTTAAGAAATATCAAGAACATGAAGTCAGCTCTTCCTGCTTATTTGTTAGAAGGCCCCTCCACACTTGGACTTGGAACCAATCCAGAGTTAATGAGATTGTTGAGCTCTCTTGTGTGCTCAATCTTACTTAAGTTTCACTCAGCAAAAACAACATTTTAATGCAAAAATATTCTTATCACAAAAAAATCCAGAAAAAGAATCCACTGTTTTACAATATTATTTAGTATAGCTGCGCATGTTGCAGGTATTCTTCGCTACCCTAGTACCCACCGCACAGTGATCAGCAAATCTCACTTACTCATTGACAGCCAGAGTAAAGCCAAGTAATGTATCATTTATTTGTTTTAGAAATACAGCCATTTGGATTGGGCTGAACTGACAAGGAATAACAGTAGTGCAGATGACTTATGCAATGGCTATGGTTGAAATTGCTCTTCAGTTGATTTGGGACTTCTCACTATGGAGAGCCAATTATTGCTCTGTGAAACTCGCACTGGGTAGCATTCAGCAAAGTTCTGTATTACCATCCCAGAAAAAGAGACAAGGTCTGCTCTAACAGTTACTGAAGGCTCCAAAACTTTCTGCTGGCTTCCATTAATAGGGATCAGCCGACAAGATCAGATTCTGACTCTTTTATCCTCAAAACTGTACATACACTACTCTCTTTGAAGTTACTCATGCAGCAAGATATTATGCAGTCTGAATATTGGGAAGGTACAGGTCATCACAGATCACTGTGAGGACAGAGTAGTTCTTATCTGCACATCAGTTCAGATAAGGCAAATAACAAAAGCATCTTCCTCAGCAGCCGCAGGAAACCATACTCAGATGGAAACCGCTTGAGACTTACCCAGAAAAGATAGCAGTGATATTTGTGACTTGGATACAGACAAAGGAGCAAGTAGAAATTATACTGCTCTCTTAAATACAAGTACTAACTAACTGGGTCTAACATTTACTTTTTTGATTGGTAACTTGAGAACAGCTTATATGTTCACTGTTACTTGTAGAAAAAGAAATGGACTGCATTTCTGGATACATCTATTTATACAGACTGTAACAACATAATTTCTTACTAGGTAGGAGATAACGTTACTACGTAGTTGTTGACAAAATACTGAAATGTCAGAAATACTACTGGAAGGAAGAAAAGCTGATCAGTTTGCTATTCTCCAAATTTGGAGGAAAAGCACAACTTTTGTCTATTACAGCCAGTATTTTCTTGTTTCAGAAAAGTATCCTTGAGTGATATGCCAACTTTTAAACATATCTCATAAAAATGAAATGTTAAAAGTAGCCAGAGCACATCATGCTGATTAGGAAGCATATGATGATTTATATTACAAAAACGTCTAACGTGGATATCGTAAACCTTTTCCACAGCTTCCATTTTCATCTTGCTGCCAATATTTTATAGTGAGAACCAGTTACACCAGTCTAGCAGTGAAACAGCAGTCCAACATCTTTTAAAATAAGCTATTAGTCAGAAAAAGTAAATTGTAAGTAAGAGAAGTACTAAAGAAGTTAGCATTTTCTTCCTGAAGATGCATTCAGCACAAATACGCCTTAGAGCTCCAGTGGGGCCTCAAAAAACGTTAAAGGGGACTGACTGAGCTTAGACCATTTTCATGTGAGGTTAAAATGTATATGTATAAATGATATCAAACCCCTCCACAAAACTACTATACCCTAAAAAACACATTGCCAGTGGAACAATTTTCCCCACATCTTATTTGAGATCCAGTTTCCGTAATAACTGTAAAATTAAGAGAGACGACTTACCAGTTTAACATCAATACTTGTGGCACTGGCATCCAAGGAATTTTCTATCAGCTCCTTTACAACGCTGACAACTGATGTAATCACCTGAGAACTTGAAAGGAGACGAATAGTTTCTGCTGGCAACTGCTTCATCACGGCATTAGAATTGGAGAAGCTGCTTAGAAAGATAATAGAAAAAGATTGCAAAAAGTACATTACAAACACACCTTTTAAAAGAACTGTTTTTCAGTGACTTTTAAATAAACACGTTATAGAGCAAGTTTTTCAAGATACACTAGGATCCAGCTTGCACAGAAGTCAAAGGGTGTTTGACTCGTGTAAGAAACAAATGGTACATGGAGCTGTAGACTAGAAAACATTATTTTAAGCAGACTAAATTTCTACAAAAAAAAGTGTAAGGTAGCATGCCAGGGAGCAGTCTCCAGGCCGTGGCTTCAGCTGACGAGGGGAGAAAGAGCATTACTCGACAGCTCTTTACACATCAGGAACGATACAAGCATGATGTTCCTCTCTGCGGAACAAAGCTGCATTTACAACAAAGGGCCAATGACCGCTGCAGTCCTGGTTTTCTGATCAATTCAGTCCAAGTGACCTGTTGGCGAATATTGTGGCTGGCCTCTGACCGCACGCTCAGCATCCTGCCAAAGGACCTGAGCATTTGCGGAGGACGGAGCAAACCCAGATTTGCACCTCCTGACATAGTCAGCACATGGCAAGGGGGGAAAGCCAACGTCACGGAGCGCAACTATCCTGCAGGTACGTGGAGCTGATATAACAATTACAGGACACTTTTCCACGCTGATATTCTTCTAAAGAGTGCCACTCTTTACACACAGAAGACAAAACAAAACACATGGTTACTTGGAGGGAGAAAAAAAAGGACCCACAACGTCTTGATGTGGAAGCAGAATCAGAACTTTTCTATGAGCAGCTAAAAATCAATTTATACTTATTTACATTTCAAAAGAAATTTTCCTTTCAGATGTGGTTACAAGATCTGACAAAGCGTTTTTTCACCAAATAAAGTGGAAAAGGAACATGAGAAGATGAGTTCCTGTCGATGAAACAGCAATATTAATCATTTTCAGAAAAGCAAGTTTCCTCATGCATTCAACGTGATATAAGGACTCCTGTGTGAAGTTTTACGATTTACTAATGACAAATGCCAGATTGGAGCTGGATATTGTTATTAAAGAACAGTGACTAAGACAAGGGAGGATCTTAAAGCAGAAAAGCTGCACATTGCGAATAAAAATTTTCTATGAGGTGTCACTGATGCAAGTGTTTTGGAAGAGAGGGAACGGCTTTGCGATACCTCTTCTCTCCCTGGGCTCAAACCGTCATGCACAGCGCTGGCCACTATTCACCAGATCAAAGAGCAAAAACAAGTGTAGTCACACACGCGTGTTTGACCAAACCGCAGAAGTACTGACGCATCCTCTCAGCAGAGCTCCTGGGGCTCACCCTGCCAAAATGAAAAAAAATAATAATAATTAAAAAAAAAAGGTGACACGCACACAGTCCGCTGGAAGCGGGGTCCTGCAGGCAAGCAACGCGCACGCAGCGTGTTCAGTACTCTGCCAGGCTGGATCTTCGATCTCCCGCACCTTGCAAGGGAAAATGTTACAAAATGAAAGAGCGTTTGTTTACAAAGAGGTTAATTTAAAACATCTAGAGGACGCAGAGCCAAAAGCGAAGATTACGCAGGAGGACAGGTCTGTAGCGTTGCCCAGGTTTCAGGGAGGGAGGTATCTCTGGTACTTGCTACCTGGGGACATGCACCCCAGCCCCTGCCTGCTTTTAGCTAGAAGACACGCGTTTCTGCGCAAGCCACCCCGCAACCACGATTCTTCGCTGACCGAACATAGCATAACCCGTCTCGAGCAGCAGGGCTTAATGTCTTCTGTGTTTTGGGAGCCTGGCTTACGCGCTCCTTTCACCCTGCTG